GTTATAGGCTCACGCCTATAATCCTAGCCACTCAGGAGGCTGAGATCTGATGATCACCATTTGATGCCAGCCTGGGCAGGAAAGCCTCTGAGACTTTCTTTCCTTTTCTTTTTTTCTTCCTTCCTTTTTTTTTTGGTAGGTTGTGGGTCTTGAACTCTGGGCCTGGGTGCTGTCCCTCAGCTCTTCAGCTCAAGGCAAGTGCTTTACCACTTGAGCCACAGCACCATTTCTAGTTTTCTGGTGGTTAATTGGAGATTAGTGTCTCATAGACTTTCCTACCTGGCTGGCTTTGAACCACGATCCTTAGATCTCAGCCTCCTGAGTAGCTGGGATTACAGATGTGAGCCACTGGTGCCCGGCTCCTGAGACTCTTCTCCAATAAACTATTCAGAAAAAGCCAGGAGTAGTGGTGTGGCTCAAGGGGTAGAGCACTAGCTTTGAGCACAAAGAGGCTCAGGGACAGTGCCCAGGCCCTGAGTTCAAGCCCCAGGACTGGCAAACTAAACTAAAAATAAAATAAAGGTCACCCACCGTTTTGGCCTCTCTACCATTGACTTTCTAGTGTGTGGCCTTTTTGTTCTCACTGGTCACATTTTAACTTGAGTAAGATGAGGGTCTCCTGCCTGCCCTCAGCAAAGCCAGTGTGCTGTCTCATGTTCACAACCCTTGTGGCCTAATTGCCATCCAGAAAATGGCCCTTGGATCTGAGGAGACAGTTGCCTGGAAGTTGGCAGCCTTGCCGGTCTGTGGAGAGAGGTGTGGGTGTCAGATGTACGGTGGGTGAGACATTACAAAGCCCTTTTCTGCCCATGATTACCCAGACTTACTTCCAGGTCGAGCCAGCTGAGTAGCAGAGCTGGGTCAGGGTGAATAGTTCCAAGCAGAGTCTCAGCTGCAGTCATGGGGATGAAGAGGAATGAAGGGGAAGAAGGGCTGGATGGCCCCTGCAGGACAGCATGGGTGGAGGCCCGGGCCCAGGACAGATGCTTGCTCTTTCTCTGCAGGTCCCTGTAGCCCATTGCTTTGGATCTCGTGGCCTCTATAAACGCAAGTTCTGTGGGGTCTGCCGCAAGGGCTTGGAGGTACCTGCGCTCCGTTGTGAAGGTATCTCCGTGGCCCTCTGGTCTGATTCCCTCCCCCAGGAGCCTGACCATTGTTGGTGGCCCAGACTTTCCCTGCCCAGTTTGTGCAGAGCTGGCCAGGGTGCACCAGGACGGGAGCTGCTGGGCCTGGGTCAGAGGGCATGGGATTCTGGGTGGCAGGGGCTAGGGCTTATCCCCTACCAGGAAGAGGCTGGGAAAGAGGTTGGGCTCAGGGGTGCAGCGAGTGGTCCCTAACCCTGCACTCCGCCCCCGCCCAGTGTGTGAGCTGCATGTTCACCCCGACTGTGTGCCCTTCGCCTGTAGTGACTGCCGCCAGTGCCATCAGGATGGGCACCAGGATCATGTGAGTGCTCAAGGGCCTGGAAGTGGCCAGGGGAAAGGGAGGGGGAAGGACCCGTCACTGACTGCCCCCTCCCTAGGACATGTACCTCCACCACTGGCGGGAGGGGAATCTGCCTTCTGGAGCACGCTGTGAGGTCTGCAAGAAGTCCTGTAGCTCCTCGGACGTGCTGGCTGGCGTGCGCTGCGAGTGGTGTGGCGCCCAGGTAGGACTTGGTGGGGTGGCAGTGGAGCCCTGGGGATGTAAGGCCAGGAGAGGCTCAGATCACCAGTGGGGTCAAGTGTGTTAAGTGGGAGCCCTTTCCTGGACCTGTCTGCATGTAGCTGTTTTCTGACTGGGGGTTCTTGTCTGCATTCTGCTCCTATGCACAATTGCAGTGGACAGTGAACATGGTGTGGAGGAGGCAGGGCAGCCCCTACCCCCACCCAGGGCCCAGTCACACCCATGTCTTCCTAGGCCCACTCGGTGTGCTGTGCAGTGCTGGGCCCCGAGTGCTCATTTGGGCGCCTGCGCTCCATGGTCCTGCCCCCGGCATGCGTACGTCTGCTCTCCCGAAATTTCAGCAAGCTGCACTGTTTCCGCATCCCAGAGACAGCAGCCCTGGAGCTGGGTGAGGCAAGGGCAGTCCTAGGGGTGTGGCCTGTACCTGGCCAGGGCCTGGGTGTGATGCTCTCATCCATCCTGCAGGCAATGGGGAGGACGGTGTAGATGGAAGTGTGGCCACTGGACCCAGCAGAGAGGCGCTGGCAGCTCTGGACTCCAGTAAGTGCTCCTCAAAACTGCTGCCCGTCTCTGCCTGGTCACTGACCCTCTGGATTCTCAGCTGCTTCCCCCTGGCCCAGGCAAGCAGACCCTGAAGATCTTTGATGGCAATGATGCCATGAGGAGAAATCAGTTCCGCCTGGTCACTGTTCCCCGCCTGGCCAGGAGCCAGGAGGTGCTGGTAAGAGGGAGCCTGTGGTGGGGGCTGGGGCATGTATGAGGCCTGGTGCAGCCACGCTTGCCCCTCCACCTGGCCCTCACACCTGATACCTGCCTGTCTTCTGCTCGCCCCTGGCCCCTCACACCTGAATCTGCCCGCAGGAGGTGGCGCTGCGGGCCTACTATGTAAACGAGGACCCAGGGGACTTTGAGCTACAGGCCCTGCCCCTGCCCTCACTGGCTAGTGATGCACCAGAGAAGACTGGAAGTGGTGGGACTGCTGAGGAGGAGGCCAGCGGAGGCCCTGGGACCCGAGAGCCCATGCCCGAGGCCTGGGTCATCCGGGCTCTGCCTCGTGCTCAGGAGGTCCTGAAGATCTACCCTGGCTGGCTCAAGTGAGACCCAAGGTGCAGGGTCCACTGGGTAGGGGGAGGAGCGGGAGAGCCAGAGCTCTGAGCCTGTCCCCCACAGGGTGGGTGTGGCCTACGTGTCCATCCGTGTGACCCCACAGAGCACAGCACAGGCCGTGGTGCTGGAGGTACTCCCGCTGTTTGGACGCCAGGTGTGTATGCTGGGTGTGCCCAGTGCCATCTGACAAGGGGGTTACCTTTGGCCACAAGGCCACTGTTTGTGAGTGTTCTGGGGAGGTAGGGGAAGGCCCTAGGCCTGATGCCCCGTCCCTGCCCCACAGACTGAGGATCCGGAAAACTTCCAGCTGATCGAGGTGCTCATGGGCAGCAGGCAAGGTGAGTGGACAGCTTGGGCTGTGTCCTGGGGTTGCTGCACAAAGCTGGGGCTTGGGCCTGCTGCCTCAGGAGCACGTGATGCCCCTCTGAAGTGTTAGGAGGTGAGGGCCTGCCCACAGCCCTGCCTGCCGTGGGTCTCAGGGCAGCTGTTTGCAGAGGTAGGAGGGCGCTCAGTGCCGATAGCCTAAGCCCTTCAACCCTGCAGTGCAGCGGACGGTGCTGGAGGGTGAGGAGCTCCTGCTACACCGGCTTCTGGACATCCGGCAGGTCAGTGGACACAGACAGGAGCTCAGGAGCCCGCAGGCACAGCCCTACCCCACAGAGGGTGCCACTCCCTCCCCCGCGGACAGCACTGCCCTCCATGATACGTCATCCGTCCCTAGCAGGGAGTCCTTGTGCCTCAGACTGCCTGCATTCCCAGCGGAGGTGGGCTGGGCTGGTGTGAAGGGAGGCAGTCTCTGGCAGCCCTTCCCTCCTGGTTCTGACTTGGTTCAGTACCCTGGCGTGGGTAAGGAGGCTAGGGACGGATGCTGGTAGTGCTGCCCAGCACTGCTCTCTCTCCCTCCCCCAGACCTCTGTACGCCAGGTGAGCCAGACGCGATTCTACGTGACTGAGAACAGGGCAGTAGCCCCGCATGTCTCCCTACTTGTGAGTGGCCTTCCACTGGGCCTTTCTCCCCAGGAGTACAGCAGCCTGCTGCATGAGGCCATGGCCACCAAAGGTGTGACCCTAGGCTGGCCAGAGGTGTTGGCTAGTGGGTGGGTCCTGACCACAGCTGTGGGGGGCATGGTGCTGAGACTGGGTGCTTCCCCAGGGGCTGTGCCCTCTGGGGTACAAGGTACCCCATCTCTGCCTCGCCCTCTGCGGGGAGAGGGGTCCCTGTGCCTTCAAGGATTTCTGGGGCTAGTCCCAGAGATTGGGGAGGGGCTGCCTGGGGTAGGTTGTGGATGAGGGTGCTCACAAGAGGGAGGTCAGGCCCCCAAGTAGGAGGCAGGGCCTGGGCCTCAGCTCTGGGCCCCCTGACTGAAACCTATTTGTGCAGCTGCTGTGGTGTCCGTGAGCCACGTCTACTCCTCACAAGGTGAGCTGCTGCCCGCCCTGAAGAACGTGCCTGCAGTGAGGGGAGGAGGATCCCCCCTCCTCGTCCTCCTTTTCTGTTGAGCTGTGTTTCAGGAATTAACATGCTTTTGTTTCTTGGTCCATATCTGATGCTTTGCTGAGGCTTAGCAATTTTCTTCAGACTCCATTTTTCCCGTGGGAAGGTTCCAGAGGCACCAGCGTCCTTCCTTATGGTGTCCTAGGACTCACAGGACCCTGCAGAACTCATGGCTTGGGTCGCAAGTGTGAGGATGGTGGTGAAGGGGTAGCCCTGCTGACCATTTCTGGGGGGACCACGCCTTCCCTGGAAGGCCTCTCCGGGAGGGCTACCACGTTGTAGATGCCACCTTTGGTCAGCTGACCTGAGTTAAGACTGGCACTGCTGGCCTAGACCCTACCCTAGATGCCTGCTGGGTCGGTCACACAGCACAGGCTCCACCTTGGAATGGGCAGCAGGTGTGCTGGAGTGGACAGGACAGGCCTTGCTGTGGGTGCCCCGTGTAGGGACAGGCCCCACCGAGCATGGGGCGGCTCTGTCCTGAGCTGCAGCCCACCTTTGCAGGCGCAGTGGTACTGGACGTCACGTGCTTTGCAGAGGCTGAGCGACTGTACATGCTGGTCAGGGACACAACCCTGCACGGCCGGCCGCTGACGGCACTGGTGCTGCCGGAAGTGCTGGTAAGTGGCAGCCCACAGCTGTGCTTGCAATGCGGCAGGGCTGGACGGCCCTCCCCTCCCTTGTCCTCCTTGACCACTAGGGCGGTAGGTACTGCCTCACCCTGCCTCACACCGGCCGGGAGGGTCAGGCCTGGAGAGCGGAGGCCAGTGGCGCCAGGGCTGGCTGTCCACTGTGGACCCCGAGACCTCTACCTGTGAGCCACACAGCACACACGGCATCTCCCATGCCCACTTCCCCGAGAGCAAGAGTGAATGGTGGGCATGTACAACATCTTGTCAGGTGTGTTCCTGACACCCGCTCCACCACACCCTGACAGCCTGGGATCTTAGGGCCGCCTCTGGCCAGTAGATGGGGCTCCCTGACTTATGATGCTGCCCTTACAACCTGGACAGATAGGAAGAGGGCACCTAGTTGGCATGCTGTGGGCATGGCACCTGGGGAGGACGGAAGGGGAGAGACCCCTGTCTTAGCTTGCGTAATCACAGAGGTCTCGTTCCCACTTGAAGGCCCCACTAGGTCTATGATGTCTGTGGTACGTGCACCCTGGTCCCAGCCCAGGTCCCAAAGAAGCAAATCCTAGTAGGATGAGTTTAGGGGTATCTGGCTGGGATGGGTAATCCTATAGGCTTTTTCTGTTCTGCATTTAGCTAGTTAGGGCAAGTGGCTGTCCCCACCACCCATAGGAACAAGACTGCCTTGTCCCCTGCCCCTGGCCCTGGCCCACTCTGTAGCTGGCATGAGCTGATCCCCCCTTTTCTCTCCTGTCAGCTGCCCATCTCCAGGTGGGTGGCCCAGGGGGTCATGCGCCCACCTGTGTCCCTGCTCCAGCCAGGGTCTAGCCTGTGTCTTCGAGAGGCGTGTCTGTCTCCTGTCCGCCTACCCTGTGGAGGGACTCCAGTTGGCTCACTGTCTAACCTCCTGGCACTGTCTCTCAAAGCTACCTGGCAGGGGAGATAGATTTTTGTCTCATGGCGAAGGGGACGCATGGTCGCTCTGTGAGCAAAGCTATCCTGGCTGATAGGGGAGAGATAAGGCCTGGATGAGGCCCGCTCGCCTCCATGAGAACTAGCCATCCGTGCTGGGCGGGAACCATAGTTTCCAACCTGGGCCTGTGATAGCCAGGCCTGGTGGGTGTGGCTCCTTGATGCGGGTCATGGCGGGTAGGGCCAGGCAGACAACCTCCGCCCAGGGGCCGAAGGGGACTCTGTGAGGGAGGGCAGTTTGGGGTGCTTCTTTGTGAGGGCACAGTCCTGTGGTTCCTCATTTGGGACTGGCCCCAGCCTGGCCTCCGGGTCTGCCCCAGGGAGGCACTTTGGCTATACCCTAACCTAACTCCCTACCTTTTAGCACACAAAGCTGCCCCCAGACTGCAGCCCTGTTCTTGTGTTTGTGAACCCCAAGAGTGGGGGCCTCAAGGGCCGAGACCTGCTCTGTAGTTTCCGGAAGCTGTTGAACCCACATCAGGTCTTTGAGCTGACCAATGGAGGGCCTCTTCCTGGGTGAGTCTGAGTCTACCCGGCAGGCGGGAGGGGTAATCCAGACTCCTGTCTGTGGCAAGTGGGGACTCCCAACTAGACACTCCTGGAAAGTTCTGCTGCCAGACAGTTCTGTGGCAGGAAAGAGCTGTCCAGAGCAGGGATGAGTCAGTCTGGTCTGTCCTGGGGGCTGGGTGGCCACCTTCCTACTGTGGTAGAGCACGCTTCCTGTCTCCCTCGCAGGTTTCACCTGTTCTCCCAGGTGCCTTGCTTCCGGGTGCTGGTATGTGGCGGGGATGGCACTGTGGGCTGGGTGCTCACCACACTGGAGGAGACCCGGCACCATTTGGCCTGCCCAGAGCCATCTGTGGCGATCCTGCCCCTGGGCACAGGTGGGCTCAGCTGTTAACTCAGAGGATGGAGTCTCAGACCTCATCCCTGCCAGGTTTTTCTGTCCTGTGGGATGGGTCACGCTGTCTTGCCTGTTTCCCAGGGAACGACCTTGGCCGGGTCCTCCGCTGGGGGGCAGGCTACAACGGCGAGGACCCGTTCTCGGTGCTGGTGTCTGTGGATGAGGCTGACTCTGTGCTTGTGGACCGCTGGACCATCCTGCTAGATGCCCATGAGATGGGGAGTGCAGAGAACAAGGCGGCTGACTTGGAGCCACCCAAGGTACCAGTGCACCCCTCCTGGGTTCTTGAGTGTAACTCCCACACTTGCTGACGTGCTCTCCTCCACCTGGCCACACGCGGGGCTGCTGGCAGCGCTGCTGCTGCCAGGACACAGAACAGTGGCTGTGCCTGGCTCCAAAGCTGCTGTGCGGTGCAGCACACTGCCTGAGCAGGGCAGCCCCAGCAAGGGGAATCTGGTCACAGCAGAGCAGGGTTGGAGATAACTGGATGCATCTTGGGGGCACTCAGGAGTGCGTGGGGCCTGTCCAGATCCTGGTGATATTTTTGTCTCCAGATTGTGCAGATGAGTAACTACTGTGGCATTGGCATCGATGCAGAGCTCAGCCTGGACTTCCACCAGGCACGGGAGGAGGAGCCTGGCAAGTTCACAAGCAGGTACTGGAACAGCAAGGCAGGGGATGCAGAACCCTTTGATGTCAGCAAGGTGACAGCGATGGCGGGCACATCGTCTTTGGCAGGTTCCACAACAAGGGTGTGTATGTGCGGGTCGGGCTGCAGAAGATCAGCCGCTCCCGAGGCCTGCACAAGGAGGTCCGGCTGCAAGTGGAGCAGCAGGAGGTGGAGCTGCCCAGCATTGAGGGCCTCATCTTCATCAATATACCCAGGTATGCAGCTGAGCTTCGATGGGCTGTGTGGCCCCAGGGCAGGAGCCATGTCCAGCCTGTGCCTAATGTGTGTGTCTCTCCATCTTCTTGGGGCAGCTGGGGCTCTGGGGCCGACTTGTGGGGCTCTGACAGCGATTCAAGGTTTGAGAAGCCACGCATGGACGATGGGCTGTTGGAGGTAGTAGGTGTGACTGGAGTTGTGCACATGGTGAGCATTGGCTGATCCGCAGGTGCCCTTGTGGTACCATGGGCCTAACTAAACTCAGCTTTTGCCTGCCCAGGGCCAGGTGCAGGGTGGACTACGCTCTGGAATCCGCATTGCCCAGGGCTCATACTTCCGGGTCACACTCTTCAAGGCCACCCCTGTGCAGGTGGATGGGGAACCCTGGATTCAGGCTCCAGGGCATATGATCATCTCTGCAGCTGGCCCTAAGGTATGCGAGTTTGGCCAAGAGCCAAGATGAGATGGGCCTGAGCCTTCCTGACTCCATGGTATGGTGGGGCCCCAGTGAGGGCAGCTTCGGGTGGGTGTCACCATCCAGTGGAAACAAGGCCACACTGATCAGGAAGCCTTGCCAGGCCCTTGCCCTTGTGTAGAGCCTAATGGACACTGGCCATAGAGTCCCAGGGCTGTGAACTGCTGTTAACCTGATCCTCTGACCTGGGGACAGGTCCACATGCTGCGGAAGGCCAAGCAGAAGCCCAGGAAGGCTGGCACCGTCAGGGAAGCTCACGTCGACGCCTTGCCTGCTCCTGAGGGTGATCCCAAGTAGAGGGGAGACGTCGAGGGGGCTCTGTGTCTATCCCATGCTCTGCACACTGGCTGGCCAGCAGAGGGACTTGGCTGCAGCCTTGATGACAGCATCCTCCTGGGCCCTCACTAGGACAGTGCTGGCAGGGGCTGGCCATTTCTCCCTTGGCTCCAGTACTAGTCTGCTTGGCAGGTAGACACGAGGCTCAGGCGGGGCCCATACCCGCACCAGTCACAAGGAGTTTCAGGGGGAGCAGGTATGGCCTGGGCACCTCTCCCTTCGCACCACCTGAGCCAGGTAGCCATGGGTGCAGGTCATCCAGGTGGGCCTCATTCAGTGCTCATCCTGTCCCTGACCCAGCCGATGCAGAATGTTGCCAGTACTCATGCTTACTGGTGGGAAGTATGGCCAGCCCCTTGCTGGGCAGGGTGACCTCATTTGCTGGCCTCATCATTGCAGATGGACCCTTGGAACATGGGTGGCCATTACAAAGCCCAAGCAGTGCCAGCTGGGCTTGACTGCCCTTCCCAGTGCCTCTGCTATGGTGATCTTGTGGCGAGCTGCGTCGGGCTTCTGCACTGCCTGCCCAGCAGCTGGAGGATGACTGGGCCGCACCTAACCCTGTTCCCTGGGTGAAGTGCTTCCTGCCTGAGGGAACTTGAGGTGGGCTTGGTGGGAGTGTAGATAACACCTGTGCGCGTGAAGCCTTCATACCCTTAGACTCAACTATGACTATAGCACTTTATAGACACACTATCTGCTAGCCCCAAAGCTCTTCCCTGGCGGTACAGAGTGCTACCCAGTTCCCACACTCCACACTGCTGGCCAGGCCTTGCTGGGGGCATTGTCCTTACAGACGGCCCAGTTGGAGTGAGATGAATGTTTCTTCCATGTGCCCAAGAATTCATTGTCATACCTCACACCCTTCAGGAACGACCAAAAGATGAGCAGCCTATGTGGAAGTCTGAGACCCCCACTCCCAAAGAAAGGGGATACATGTCCAAATCCTTCCCTTCTGGTTGGTACTGAGTGTGCACTGCTCACAAGTGGTTGTGCCACACCCCAGGGTGTGTCCTTCCTGGCCTGCAGCCTCCTGGGCCACGCGTGGTGCCACTGAGTGCTCAGTGGTGCCCTCCCTTGCTTCTGCCAAAACTGCACAAATGCATCTTACGGCCATTATGGTCTCAGTGTAGACATTCCTCATGTTTACATCATTTGTAATCCTCGATGGGATAGTTTTTGCTTTGATTTCAATCTGTAGGAATTATTTGTAAATTGTGGCCTGTGTGGCATGTCCTCTGTATTTAAGTGAGTCTGTCCCCTGTGCACTGGTCCTCTGTGTATGTAATTTATCGCTACCTGAATGTGACCTAACTTATATCTGGGACAAATACAGTCTGGGCTTCACTGTGCTGCCCTTGTCTTTGTCTGACCCACGTGCAGGGCAGGGGTAGATGGACTGGCAGCCTGTGGGGGCAGGCCACTAGTGGTTAGCTCCTCAGACAGCAGCCTCCTTGCTTGACCAGCCAAGTCTCAGGAAGGAACAACTGCCCTTAGGGCCCCCAAGAGAGCAGTGGCCTCTGTAGCCACATGCAGGATTGGGCAGGAAGAAGGAAAGGAGCTCTGGGACCCTGGTCGGGCCCTGCTGTCTCAAACACCATCCCTATCTTGGGTGAAGAGGAAAAGTAGATGAGTCAAAGCAGTAAAATGAGTCCCGAGAGCTCCTCACTACAAAAAGTAGAACGATTTTTGTACTCTAAAACAGACCTTAGTATTTCACAATGGATAGAATATCCAAGCAAGTAAGATCGTAGCCCCAGGGCCACAGTGGTCCCCTGCCAGTCCATTCTTGGGCTCCATCTTTCTGGTGGTGAGCAACAGCCTCCTTGGTGCTAGCAGGAGGCAGGCAGGAGCCGGGACTGAGCCTCAGCCTCTGCCTGGCTGGGCACAGGGTGTGCTGGCCGGAGGCCTTGAAGGGCCCGCAGGCCTGCCAAGGCAAGGCGCATGAGGAGACGCAGCAGCAGGAATGCAAAGGGTACTGAGATCTGCATGAGGTGGAAAATGGCAGTGCTGAACCGACTGAGCAAGCAGGTGGCAGCAAAGGCCAGCAGACTGGCGCAGGGGTATAGTGCAAGCTTGGCAAACATGAAGGCATGCTCCTGTCCACCAAACTGCACTGATGGCTGCAGTGTCTCTGCCTGGCGTAGCAGGGCCGCTGTCCAGATGGCGAACTGGAAGATGCTGGCAAAGAAGATGATGGCGCAGCTCACGCGCACACGTTCAAGCTCGTCGCGGGGCTGCTGGGCGAAGGCCGAAGTCTGCTGATAGGCCAGGGGAAGGCCGCCCACGAAGGCCAGCGAGAGGGTATTCAGCAGCCCCATGGCCTGCGTGGCCTTGCGGACGTGCAGGAAGAGCGAGTGGTGGGCAAACCAGAGCAGACCCACCGTGGCAAAGGAACCGAAGTATGCCAGGAACTGTGGCCCGTGTGCACCCAGGGCGGCCACGAGGCTGCCGTGGAACTGCTCCTGCACGTCCTTGGGGTCTGGAACATTGTCCTCACTGGGAAGTGTGAACAGAGGGCATTTGTACCAGCCTTCAGAGGGACAGACGGGTGGGCTAGCAAAGTGAGTTTCCGATGAATGGCTGGCTTACACTAGCTGCACACAAAATGCTCATTAGTCTGCACTTACATATACTTAAAATACTCAACGTAAGTTATCTCTGTTCTCCTGAATTGCAATAACTGATGTATGCTCCTTGCCAAGTGGCAGCCCTACTTGCTAGTCCAAAAGCTGGTGGGCTGGGCAGGGCAGGGTGAGTCCCTGATGGGAGACTACACCCACAGGAGCTGGGGCAGCTCCATGTCGGAGCCCTGCTTCTGCCCTGCATCTTGCTGCTCATGCTGGAAACCAAGGGCACACTGATGCAGCTGCCGCTCTCTCGAGGCATGGCCTAGCAATGGCATCTTGTCGACTGGGCGTGGACGACAAGGCCCTTACGCAGGCAAGACCTACATTCTGCAAAACAGTGGGCAGAGCCAGGCTGGGCCTGGCGAGACCCCAAGCAGCTTCTCAGCAGGGGCAGCAGACCTGCATAAAGGGCATGCTCCCCACCCCAGCCGCGGCTGCAGTTACCAGTCCTTGGTTATAGGTTACAGGGAACATGACCAGTCAAGCCCTGGCTGCAGGGCAGACACAAAGCCAGACTGTTCAGGAATGTTCCTTAAGTTTAGGCCTTCAGAATCAGGTACTTGGGAACATTTGCTTTCAATTTTTAAAAACTGACAGTAGGAAAAATTGATAGTAGGAAAAGGATACTCAGTAGCAGAAGAGTCAGACTATCAGATACAAAACATAAAGCCAGAGTGCAGCAACACATTTAATGAAGTAAGAGTGCACTGGAATGTGACTAAGTAACTACAGCATAAAGGGGCTGGGAGGCTTGGGATGGCAGACTGAACACTTGGAAATAAAGTGAGCACTGAGAGGAGCGCTCTAACAGGTTTTCATTGACAAGTCAGGCTGAGCAGAAGAGCCGGCAGTGGAAGAAGGAGATGGCTTCTAATGAGATATGGAAAGGGTCTAGGGCCTGGGGAGCTAACTCATCCCTCTGAGCAGAGCTTTGGGGAGGGGGGCGCAGGGTGGCACTGCAGAAGCTGCCTCTCCCTGGCACCCTAGCCTCTGCTTGGGCTCTCAGGTTGGGAGCTGGTAGGATGGGTTTGCACCTCTTAAGGTTGGCTCACCTTCTCACTGCACAGAGCGCTGACACCCAAGGGAAGGCTGGCACTGAACTAAGGCCTTTCTGGAGTGTCTAGGGTTAGATACCAACTCAGACTGCTACCTGGCAGACAGGCTGGGGCAGACCAGTTGGGATCCTCACCAGATGTCCAGGATGAGAAGCGTGGCCACAATGGCGTAGACACCGTCACTGAAGGCTTCCACCCGCTCCTTGCTGAGGGGTGCATGCAGGTCAAAACTGAAAGGTTCCACACTACGAGCGGGGGGCTCCTGGCGGCCTGTGGGCGTGGCAGGAGAGAGGGACAGCCAGCCACTTGTGGGGCTGTGGTGTCTGGGTAGCCACACCCTGCTTTCCTCCCCCAGGGCCAGGAAAGGAAGCGGCACAGATCCTGAAGGGTAAGTTGCAGCCCGTCCCCAGTAAGCCCAGAGCCAGGGTTGGGCTGTGCACAGTGGAACAAGCTCAGGGCTACTACATGTTCACACCCAGCCCCACTTAACAGTTCTCAGGAGGTCCAGTGGCACCTCTCAGGGGCCTCAGTGTAGAGGTGTATGGTCACCTACCCATGAGCCTGACTTTGCACCAGCTGGTGGCCTTGCTGACGTGGGGGAGGAAGATGATGGTCACCATCAGTAGGTATGACTGTGGGGAGACATGACAAGTCAGGGTCTGCCTCCTTCAGAGCGGAGACTGCTCACCACCTGGTACCTAGACAGCCAAGAATCCCATCCTGCTGCTCCAGAGAGGGACGGCAGGAGTAACAAGGGAAAACCAGGGAATTCGACTTTTTGCTCTTCTCTTTTTTCTTTTGCCAGTCCTGGGGCATGAACTTAAGGCCTGGGTACTGAGCCACAGCACCAATTCTGGCTTTTTCTGTTTGTGTAGTCCTGAGGAACTGAACCCAGGGCTTCATGCATGCTAGGCAAGTACTCTACCACTAAGCCATTTCCTTTCTTTTTTGAGTACTGGGGATTTGAACCTAGGGCCTTGCACATACTAGGAAAGCTATCACCCCACCTAACCCCCTCTTTTTGTTTTTGAGACATTCTTGCTGCTACTTTTGCCCAGGCTGGTTTTGAACTCTCGATCCTCCTGCCTCTGCCCTCCAGGTAGCTGGGATTATGGATGTGGGCCACCATACCTGGCTTTAGGAAATTGTCCTTTATTGAAATAAGGATGTATGGGTTAAAGAGAAAAAGAGAAAGAACAGAAGAAAAAATGCTTGCCTGGGAGGAGCTTGGTATCCAGAATGCATAAAAAACTAGCAGAGCTCAACTGAAGTCAAAGACCCCAACTAAGAAACAGGAGAGACTTTGAAAAGACATTTCTGTAAAGAAGATATGTAAATGCGCAACAAGCCAAACAGCTGCAAAGCTGCTCAGTATCCTAGTCCCCAGGGAAATGACAGCCATCAGGACAGCTAGAGTCACAAAGGCAAAGTAACAGGTGGTGTGGAGAAAGCACAACCTGAGCACTGCAGGCAGGACTGTGAACAGCCCAGCAACTTGAAAACAGTATGGGGGGCTGGGCAGGCGGCTCAGTGGTAGAGTGCTTGCCTTGCATGCATGAGGCCCTGGGTTCAATTCCTCAGCACCACATAAGCAGGAAAAGCTTGAATTGGTGCTGTGGCTCAAGTGGTAGAGCGCTAGCCTTGAGCTGAAGAGCTGAGGGACAGAGCCCAGGCCCAGAGCCCAGGCCCCATGACCAGACCCCCCCCCAAAAAAACAGTATAGGGTACCTTAAAAAATTAAAATCAGGGGGCTGGGAATGTGGCTTAGTGGTAGAGTGCTTGCCTAGCACACATGAAGCCCTGGGTTCGATTCTTCAGTACCACATCAACAGAAAGAGCTGAAAGTGGTGCTGTGGCTCAAGTGGCAGAGTGCTAGCCTTGAGCAAAAAGAAGCTTAGGGACAGTGCCCAGGCCCTGAGTTCAAGCCCCAGGACTGGCAAAAAACAAAAACAATAAAAAAGCAAAGTCAGAACGACCCCATGATTTGGCAATCCTTGTTCTGGGCACATACAGAAAATAACTGAAAGATTTGAAGACACATGTTCATAGGAGCAGTATGTATAAGAGGCCACAATGTTGAAGTGTCAGTCAATTGAGAATGGCAGGCAAAGTGTGTCCCAGACACACTGAATTATCATTGGGCAGTGAAAACGAATACAGTTTCAATGCATATTACAAACACAGGCGAACTCGAGTAGTTCACAGCCTCGCCTACTGGCCACCTGCCTCACCTGCCCTTTCTACTTCTCCCAGCCCCATGTCCAGGCTGTCAGCAGATGGGCCTCTGCCCTAGGCTTTGCCTGCCTGCCCTGCTCCATCACTCACCTCTGGTCCTGCCCTTGTCAGATACTCCTGCCTATGAACCACCTGGTTACACCCATGGAAAAGGTCTACCTTTCGAGCCAGTACTGGCCTCTAAGACTGTGGTCCCTCTAAACGGTCCTCCTTGCTGTGCACCTGTCTTTCCAGACCTCTGCCTAATCATTCTGACCACTCCTTTATGCAGGGGCCTGCGGCCAGTGGGGGCCAGAGGCCCCCTCTCCACAAGGCAGCCTGGGTTCTCCAGCCTGTGCCACTGACTCTCAGCAATCCCCATGAGCATCAGGTTAAGTCTCTCAAGGCACGCGTGGCTGGGGCTTGCTTCCCAGATGGTGTGCTGCTCGACCC